AAATGCAATTTTGCATTTTGTAGAACCCCCTACAGAATCCTTATATCCGCCCCTGGTTACTGAATTCCCATGTTTATTAGGACACCCTATATAAGAAGCTAGCTCCTTTTAAAAAATATTCAAAATTTTTAAAAATAAAACGATTGCATAATAATTAATGTTATTAGTTCCCTTACCCCGTAACTGTAATCATGCTGTTTTTTGGTCACCCTTCACTACAAATATATATTCGTAGGTATATCACATATATGCATTAAATATATAAAGTGAATGTATAAATAGTGTAATGTAGTGTGTATTAAAATTAAACTGGTTAAAATATAAAATAATGAAAAGGATAAACGATATCATCCCAGATACATCCTACAGAGGTTCATTTTCATACCACCACTGGGAGGGGGTAAATTCAAATGGCAGTGTCTTTAATTTCATCTTCATTTCCTTGTTAATTGCATGGTATATTAAATACATATATAGATTATTTTATTCATTATTTAATATTTATATTATATCTTCTTAATCAGGGGCGGCTTGAAAATTATCTAGAGGGAGATTATTTTTAAAATCCTGAACAGGTTTTAATTTTAGCCGCAGATTATTTATTATGTATACATTTATTTATCTTTTTAAACGTAACTTCATCTCTGCAATTTCTAAAATATTTATTCATTTTCTTTTTCATATTATTCTTTAGGTCACCAGCCGTAATTAATTCAATATTATCGTTTTATATCGACTTATTATATATTGTGTGTTGTATCCTATCATATAAAGACGCAATGTCTATTTGCAATGTATTTTTGTGAGTCCTCTTATGTGCATCCAAAGAAGAGCCTCCTGAATTATGCATCCTCAGTGATGTGTCCTTGATGTGCCTCGTTTGAACCAGCGAATGTTACTAGATGTTGCCTGCTAACATCAAGGACAAATAATTACGTTAAGCTAAAGTAAATTGCACCTGATATTGAAATCTTAATGTTAGTAATCATCAACCCCTCTTATTAAAGAGTTCTTGGGAAGAATTTCTAATATGTAACCAGAGCTGAAAACTTTAGAATGGTGGATATCGAGTTTAATGCGTTATCCTCTCTTTTTCTCAATATCGAGACTATGAATCTAATTTTGTACTTCTGTATGTTTGTATCCTGAAAAGTGTATGAATTCAACCAATCAGAGTTGCGTATAAGAAGCCGATAAATTTGAAATTTTGCGCTCCATTTAAGATTAATATACAGAAAGGAGAGAGACTCTCTAATTTTAAAAACCCCGGTTTTTGATTTTTCTCTACTTTATCTAGTGTGTCCTTTGGATACTCAGATTAAGTAATCGGGATTAAGGATATTTCATTCTAAAGTTTTCAGCTCAGATAAATATGCATTTCTCATACTTGTGCATTAAATAAAAATTAAAGGAGCTTCGAGGTCACAAAGTCAGTATCAGCGCATATATTTGACCTTCTCCTTCTGTTTAGTTTAATGTGTAATTTTCCATATTTCTAGTATTTTAATACATTTTTAAATCTTTTTTAGTCTTGTAAACAAAAATCTTGATTAAAATTCTTAAGGTGTGATATTTTTATTTCTAGCCACTTATTCCCCTTCCCCCCTTCTTTATTAAAATTTAGCGCTGTAACCTCGTGTTCAGTAACCATAGAATAAACACCAAGTGCAGGCCCGGGCACACTTGCACTCCATAAACCATCTTTAATTATCCGAAAAATATGATTTAGATACTTGGTATTGTATACAGCTGTAGGGGCAGTTAAAACACTTGTTAAGCTTAATGGTTTTGGTGGCTAGCTCACTAGGAACAAGATTACTGTGAAGAGACCCCCTACCCCCATTTCCTACTTTCCATACCTTAAGTTTACACCCCTGAGAGATGCATATATGCAATGCATATGATACTGTTCTCAAATACTGATTTAAAGATCGTCAATCCGTTTTTCTCAAATTTGGATATTGTTGAATATATTTCCGCCAATTTTGTGTAATATATTATAGTCCTGAAAAAATGCTGAATGACCATATTTAATTCCCATGTTTTTTGAGACTTTGTCTAATTGTGCAACAATATCGATCCATAAGTATTTTTCCAATATTTTATCATTTTTCCAGCAATTAACAGGCTTTTAAACCTTTGGGGAAATCCCATTTTTTTAAAAGGAGTTTGATATATTTATTGTAATTCTTTTATTTAGGGTCGAAACAAATCATGGTGTGTTTGCTCCAATGTTTAATTTTCTAAAAAATATCCACAAAGTTGAGTGTTCTTCTAATCGTAAGTTTTAGCAGCCAGCAGCCACATAAATCAAGTCTTGGTTGACACCAGGGAGTAAGGAATAGAAGGGAGATATAATTGACGCGGTTCGCCCTATCATANCCTTTGGTAAAAATTGTTCATACATTATTTCCTTGTTGCAAGACACATTTCTTTGCAATGCAGAGTTTCAAACTTTACTTACCAGAAAGTCCCTCATAAAGAAAGGAAGATTTTATAGTCACCAAATAGTTGATTTTAAAATCAGACTTTAATACGAATTGAATTAGAAAAATTTGCAAGCATTATTCAATTCTATTTGTTTGTTTTAAAATGCAATTTTGCATTTTGTAGAAAAGCATGGTCCTTTTAATGGAACTAATTCTTTACAAAATGTTCAAAATGTATAACTTTTAAGACATTCCTCAAAAAAAAAGAAAAGCCAGATTTATTTGACCAATTAAAGAAGAGCATGCTCCAACTTGATATATTTTCCAACTTGAATATGGAAAACTTGTAATAGAATTATGAGAACAATTTCCATACATTTCTACCAGAAAGGTATTATTTAAGCAACAAGAATTGAACAGTGTGTTATTCTTTGAATTAATTTGATTGTGAAATAATCCCTGGATGGAAAAAATACTTTCTCCAAGGATTAAGGAAAAGGTTNTTAGTTCCATAGCTATGATGCCATGTGAGAATATTCTAGCTTTTGACTCTGTTAATGGGATGATAATACCTGTTATTATAACGATTAATATTCTTGTGAATTATATCCAACCCTTCCAATATGAAGACAATATTTTGGATAACAGAATCTTTAATCATATATCCATATTTCTGATATTTTATGGACTATTTTCTCCACCTTGTATCCTACTTGTACACAAGAATACCCTGAACAGGACTTTTGTAAATATATGTTCCATCTTCCTGGTACTTGTAGTGATATCTGTACCCTTGATCATCTATCTCCTAGGTATTCTGATTTCAAGTACATCAACTATCTATCTGTATACCATTGAATCCAATATGAATGGATCTGTAATTACTATACT